AGACGAGGTGTAAGTCACATTTTTAGCTCAATGGTTGGGTTTGCGTCAGACAGAGATGCAGGACTCAAACTTACGACGTTCGCGGTGCAGCTGCCTTTGTTGCCCCACGCCATGGAAGAAAATAGCACACCTCATTGATTAGAAAATCAGTAATTTTAGATCAGAGGTTACCGTGGTCTATACTAGCTGTAGATACTGCTTCCAAAAAACAATAACAGACTCTTCCCCGATGGTGTAAAAAGAAATATTAGCCCCACACCAAATTCTCCATTAAGCATATGGCAGGACAGTTGACAGAAGTGTAGGAGAAACAGATATCCAAATTATCATAAACCTTCCGTTAAATTTCTGATCAAAATTTAACAATATCTCTGAGTTCGTTATGTCTGACAAGTTGAAATGAAGTCTCAGCAATATATGACGCAAAAGAGTACCACCTTACCACGCTGCTGTTAATTATTATTACCTGCCGTTATTCTATTGCCGTTACCCCAAGTCAGACTGAGAAAATTGTGTTTATCCCGTGTAAACTACGCAGCAAGTCATTTTCGAATAAAAAACGGAAGTACTTACGATTCTGCAGACACCTCTGACAAAGCAGGCGCCTTAAACGGAGGCAGATAAGTCGTTCCTTCTTCAGCTAACTGCTGAATGAAGTATTCGATTATTTCTTTTCCCTAAAAGCCAGAGCACGAGAATAAAATGAAAAACATATAGTGGCACTGCGCCACTGCCTTCTGAATGTTCGCAGCATAGTGTTTGACGGCGATCCTTTCGACCAGCGACTCAAAGCCGAACAATGCCTTTGCATCCAAGCTAGCGCTCTGCTCGAAACACGTGAAGTTAGGCATTTTTTCGTTTACCTGAAAACGTGTCTACTTCAGAGAAGTCAAGGTTCAAAGTAGCAGTAGTTCTGCGTTGGGTTATCACAGCTCGAAAATGGTTTGTCGTTATTTATCATCATCATCACTTGTGCATGGCCAGAAGCAGAAACGTTCACTCGGCAGTGAAATGTGATGACTGCGAAGGCATCAGTGAAGTGATTTAAAATCGTCGAGACTGCTAATGCAAGCTATTTAATTCATTTGTGCCGTGACCTGTCTCCAGCAAGCCGCTGACGGGCAATGTGGAACTAGTGGAAAGTCCGCAGCCACTGGGCCTGCTCTGTCATTGATAGATATCTCTGCTGGTAACCTCATCATGTTGCGAAACAGTTACTGTCAGTACCGGCGAAGAGTTCGGTGATCCATTATCAAGATAATGTGAAACAACTGATTATCTGCTAACATATCGGTTTCTCACAGATGAATACTTCTTGGCATCGATGTATTTTCATAATATCATCAGCCTTTTATGATTCACTCTTTTCCCAAGCCTCGGCATTCAAGCCCGGTTGATTCGCCTATGGCGAAACCAGAAAAGTACAATACAACCCTTGAGACTCCACGAACACTATAACAGATAAATCCGTTCTGTGTACTGGATATATTGACCACCAAGTGCATCCGAGCTTTTACTCTGAAATAAATCCATTCGCTATGGAACCTCAGTGGCGACTCATAATGGAAAGCGCAAGGAAACAGCTGACGCACCTGCAGTTGTTAAGCCTTGTTGTTCTGCGAATTAAAGGGTCACCATGAACAGAGATTAAAAAGGCCGCCACACTCACATATGTAATATGTATGCACATACACGATGATCAAGCCAACTTTGCCTAACTGTACTTTAAAAACCCATTTAAACCGCCTTCATCAAGATTAGATAGCAGATCTAGAAACGTTCGTAGCTGCATCACTGAGAACGCCTTGCTAAATCACGTCATGACTTAAAGAGTCACGTACATAGTAAAGGCAATTTTCCTTGATCGAGATGCGGTTGGCGAATGTAAGGTTGTAGGCTTCGATTGACAGCGTCCGATTTAGGCGATCCAACGTGTTCTTTTGCATGAAATATACGAAATCGGCGCCTATCATCTGAAATATCATTATAAATATATTCAAAATACCATAAATATGGTAATAAATAAACAAGAGCAGAAAATGTTGGATTTAGAAACCAGA